CTCTCTCTCTCTCTCTCTCATGCCTTCCACATTTCCTGATTCTTCGAGACGAGCGGTTTTGCCCGCTGCAGGAAAGGAGAAACGCACAGACACACAGCTCCACTCGCTTGTCTTGACTTCGCTTTTGTGTGTGTATTGCCTTCTGCACACGCCAGTGCCAGCCCCTTTGTGCATTTTGGGGGAGGATTTAGCTTGGGAACAGAGATGTGAGCTGTGGGGTTTAAGCCCACATCATGTTTATCGTAGACCTGGTGGGTGGGTTTGCAGGTGTGATCCAGGGACAACCAACCCTGGATTTAACGAGTTATCTCCAAGATATTTTTTAAGAGTGGTTGGTTGAATTAGAGGGTGTTTTGCAAATTGGGGGGGGGGAGAAACTGGGCAATAAGGGGTTGGAAAGCCCCCCCCCCCCGGAGTCTTTCCTCCTTTAAGAAAGCTTATCCTGCAGAGCCGAGTTGCTCCATGCTGCTCACAAGCCACAGTGAATTGCATTCAGAAGATACACAGATCCCGCACTACCTCGCAGTGTGGCTCTGTCGGTTGTGTGTGTTGAATTGGCTGTTTTTCTCCTGAAGTCGGCTCTCCTGGAGTGTGATTTGTCAAGAGTGGACTACAGACATCGCTCAGTAGGGCAAGAGGGCAAATTGAAGAGTGCAATCCTCATTTCCATTCATTTATTCTGGTTCACCCGTTTTCTTTGGCTCCCTCCTAACCTCACCCTATGTCAACTCCCAGAATGCAATTGTGGTCCTAAGTTGAGGGCTACCTGTATATCTTTTGATGTTGGGTGGGAAAAATGTGGCTAATGTCATCTTAAGCTTGGTCTTTCAATAAATTCTTACCCAGATATCCAGCTTGTGTATCCAGAATCTCCCATGGAGAGATTTAATCCAAAACACGGAAGGGAAAATCCCTAAGACTTAGCTCTACTGGAGGGATACGAAAGTAATGCTGAGAAGTGGCATGTCCCCTGTTACAATCTTTGTATTTCTATGTTGTCCCTGTTTGCTGAAAAATCTGCATTTGCTAAATTCACACAACATGCTAAGGCCAAGCTAACTGAATTATTGCTTAGCTCCAAAATTCACCATCTGAGGCTTTCAGGGCTGAAAATCTTGGATCTCTGAAAGTTGCCCTTTTAGTTTTTAATGTAATAAAAGATGGAAATGATTAAAAGTGCACCTGTGCTATAATAATCCAGCCTATATTTAATTATATAATTATATAATTATATAGATAGATATAGATATAGATATAGATATAGATATAGATATAGATATAGATATAGATAGATAGATAGATAGATAGATAGATAGATAGATCTATCTATCTATCTATCTATCTATCTATCTATCTATCTATCTATCTATCTATCTGGCACTTCACCATATATATGGTGAATATATATATGGTGAAGTGCCAGGGCTTCACGCATTCACACCATTGGTGCAAACTGAGAAATGGGACGGAGACAGCTTGGATGAAAAGTAACAGTTTAGTGGCAAATGTATATCTGATGACAGCTTTAGCAACGAAGCAGAAGAAAAACACTTAAAAAAAAGAAAATACTCAAAGTAGGGCTAGAAGTGACCGATACTCGGCATAGGAGAAGCCCCTGTGCTTAACCAACCAGCTTTCTGCCAAGCTGCTAAATACAACAGAAAAACAAATGATAAAACACAATTCCCCAATACTCAAGAAAGAAAGAATCAAAAATGTTTGACCTAACCCCAACCGAAACGCAATCAGGAAGAGATGCACCGGCTTTAATTTGGTGTCTGTTCCATTTGCTGTCGCCAACAGTGCAGTCGGGCTTAAAGACATTCCCCCTGTCCTACTTCCCATGTTAAATTCAACAAGGTTGTTGGGTTCCTGGACTCCAGGAGCAGCCGTACGTGGAAAGGCCTGCCTAAAAGCTGCCGAGAAGGTTCCCGAAATAATTGGAGCGAGGGCTCCGCTATCTCCGCGGCAGCCTCTGGAGAAATCCGTCTCTAATTCCCGTAATAAGAAGCTGAACCCTGATCCTCTCGGGGGGGTAAACAATTCTATAGAATACAGTAACAAGGATGTTTTTCCCAGCTATATTTCCCCCACCCCTAAAGTGCTAATGTCGGAGACATTTTGAGCCGCTATCCAATTTATTCGCACTCCTTGTTAGTCGTTTCTGGTTCTTCGTCAAAAAGGATCTTGGAGACAAAACCGCTTCCATTGGCATTCTCTCTCTTCATTGGGCCCCTGAGAGAGAGAGAGAGAGAGAGAGAGAGAGAGAGAGAGAGAGAGAGAGAGGGATCAAGATTGCAACTGTCATGGGTGACATCTCATTAGTGAACAGGACCGCTATTCAACATTTCATAATATTCATGACTTCGTGACCTTGTTTCAGGAGCTGTTTCAAAAGAGAACCGAAGGCCCTTCCTTCTGCCCTGAATTTTTTTTAAAAACGCTGACATGTCTTTCTCTCGATGGGTTTGGAAGTTGTGTTATTTTGTTTAGCATCAATTGCCAATTTGTTGTTTTGGCTGATTGTCGGTTCCAGCAGAAACTCTTATCTCTGTGCGGTGGCAGGGCCTGAGCTGGCTTGTTGTGCCACTGCATGGCGCATTCAGCGAAGGGGAATGCACACGTAAAATCTGGTGAAATATAAACTAATCACAGAGATTGGGAACTTGGACCACAAGCTAAATATAATTTTTGAGGTTGTGGATAAGTGTGGGATGTGAATGGCCACAAATGAGAGCTGACATTGGTTTGTGGGGAGAATGGAGCCCGTGCTGCAATTATAACTTAAGTGGAAATAGCCTAGAAAAAGAATAAAATAGGCTGTGGCAGAAGTATAAAAAAATACAGTAATTGTTAATTCTTCAAAATCTTGCAGAAATGAGCTGTGCTTCCACTGACAGCTCAGGGACCGGATACAGCCTGGAAGGGAATAAATGAATCACAAAGTGCGCTTTATTTTTCCTTGAATTTATACTGCCAAGCCAGTGTCTGGGGCAAGAAACAGTGCCAAGCTGGCTTGTGCAACCGTGGTTTGTCAAATGAGTCACACACAAGAGAGATTTATTATAAAACCTGGTCTGTGAACGATACACAGTCAAGCAAAACATTAACTTGCCTTAGAGTGAAGCTACTTTCTGAGGCTTGTGAACCATGGTTCAAAACTTTAGTTCGTTACAGCTTGTTCACAATCTACAGTTAGAGCAAACTGTAGTTCAGCACAATGCAGGAGCTCCACCGATCTGTTGGAACTGAATTTCCTTCAAAACATTTGCATGACTCCTTGTTTGAAGGGTAGTCAAGGCAGCAAATGTGGACTGCTCTGTCAGGCGTGAAGAATCAAGGGGACATGTAAATTCCGGTTCAGAAAATTTATTGCTCAAGCTTAGGACAAGAATCCAGTCCAGTAATGGTCAGCACTAAATTGGTGCTAGATAAGAGTTAACAAAAGTCAAGTGGGGCTGGGCTTGGAGCATTTGTGGACACATAAGGATTCTAGGCTACATCCTCACTTGACTCCACCTCCAATCTCTGCCTGCTCTTCTACATAATCCTATGGTTTTTGGCTGCTCTGGAACAATATATGGAATATAATTTATTATCAGACCTGTGGTACTTACTCTTGAATGGGCCAGTAGCTGAGCAGGGTTGTAAGAGACAGGTAACAAACGCTCAGCATTCCGGAAACCAGCAGCGACAGCATGCCCAATCCACCAAGAATGCAAAGCAAGGTGACGCCACCTAAGGATATTACGAAACCTAGCAAGAAGGAGATGAAATTAAACTTATGGCTTCTCTAGGGAATCTCTTTATTGCTTCATTGTCAATAGGTGGCAGCAACTAGCAAATTTACGGCTGGTCTAGACAGCTCAGCAGAGTAAGTAAGGCCTGGTTAGATCTTGTCTGGGAGGCCCCTAAGATATCTTAGGGTACTAGACTAGACTAGGAGAGTGAATAAAATCCTGTAAGGAGGCAATGAAGAATTACTTCTGCACTGTTGCCAAGGAAACAGGCCTCCTGCCATTAAACTTCAAGCAAGTTTAACTTTATTTATCGTCATTGGGTAGCCTTGAATGACAAATCACGTTGAAAGCTCTAAATTCCTTTTAAAGGCTCCAACTGTCTCCAGAGAGGCACGGTGGCATCGTCATCCCAACCCCAATCCCCCGAAGGCATGAATACCTTCCATGACGATCACTCCAATGCATGCCAGGACCGTGGTACTGACGACAAAAACCAGGAAAAACGCAATGGGGACGGCCGAGGCAGCAATAAATACCATCAGGGAGAGGGCAACGAAAGGGTGATCATCTAAATACTGGCCGACTCTGGAATTCATAAACGCAACCACCTGGGATATAAATGGAACAAAGGGAAATGTTTTTAAAGATCTGGTGTGTGTGTGTGTGTGTGTGTGTGTGTGTGTGTGTGTGTGTGTGTGTTCGTTCTGGGAAGCGAAGTTATTTCAGGAGGAAATCACTGAATAATAATAATAATAATAAATAATAATAATAATAATGCCTAATACAGGCAGTCCTCGACCTACGACTGCAATTGAGCCCCAAAATTTATGTTGCTAAGGGAGACAGTTATTAAGTGAGTTTTGCTCAGTTTTACGACCTTTCTTGTTGCAGTTGTTACGCGAGCCATCCGGTTCATTTAAGCAAATCTGGCTTGGTTTTGCTTGTCGTAAGCCAGCTGGAAAGGATGCAAAGGGTGATCACGTGACCACAAATACATGCCATTGTCCAAGTGTCCAAATTTTGATCATGTGACCATGGGGATGCTGCCACAATCAGTGCCATTGTAACTTTGGTCGTTAAGTGAATAGTTGTAAGTTGAGGACTACGTGTGTGTTGTTTAAGTGTGACTCTACTATGAATCTGTCTTGAATTTAGGACGGAAGCCCTGAATATCAGGATGAAACCATCTCTCCTGAATATCAAGAACATGCAATTATATTTAGTTGCAAAGTTAAAATTCATTTCAAAATGTTCAGAGATTCAACTGCCTTAGCAGAATAAAAAAAAAGGGGAGGAGGGTTTAGAATCCTTAGTGTTCTCTGTTTTAATTATTTATATTTATAATTTTTTCTTTTTTTAAGAATACAGTGTGTATTTTAAGAATGTACCAAGCAGAATCCAAATGGAAGTTATGTATTATATTGAATGTTACAACTTTAGGGAAAAGATATAAAGGCGTCATACTCCAATCAGTAACTACAGGAGAAATTTTGTTTAATGAGAAAAGATAATAGATAATTGAAACGGGACAGACAAAAAATATAAATACAATGATTTGAATTGAGATGAGATAATTAAAATAAAATTGAGAAAATTACAAGAGGGGAGAAGCTATGCAGAAAATGTAAAATAGTAATAAGATATGGTAATAAAGTAAAGTAATAAAATATAAAAATGAGCATGAACCTGAATTTGTGTCTGTACGAAGAAATGTAACCCAGGATTACGCTACTTCCAAAAAGATGTTTTATTTGTATTTTTTTTCTCTTTGTGAAAACTCAAATAAAATTTACCAAATAATAATAATAATAATAATAATCCTTAGTGTTCTCTGAGTTTGAAAAACGTTTTGTTACCCATCTAGGTAGAATCATCAGAGCTTGTTTTGAGGGCTTGTTATAGATATAAACCAATATAAAGTTGCACTGTTAGTCAGAGGCTGTTTGCACAATACACTAAGTTTGCTTGTCTTAACCATGATTTATTGAAGTGTTTTTGTTAAGATAAAGCAGGGATTCATAAAGGCTGATTTGATAAACCAGGCTGTTTGAGTTCACACATGCACAGAGATAAATAAACAAATCACGGGAGAAAAATGGTGAGAGCTAAGATTTTACACTAAGGTTATCCACTAAGAGAGGTCAAAAAATCAAGATGGCAGCCACAACCACACAAGGAGGCCCTTCTATTCTTCTCTGTCTCACAGACACACAAAAGATGGAGCCTTTGACGACGTGGTTGGAGTTATATCCAAACACACTTGGTTATTTCCCCCAATAACTTTGTAAATTTGTATTCGCACAGCCTAGTGCATTATTTAACACGATCCATTGCATTAACCCAATTGGCTGATCTTTGCCCTACCAAAACCCAAGCGTACTGGTTGGGTTCCTGCAAAACAGATTGCCAAATTTTAGCCTAGTTATTACGTAAAGATGGCTTGGAGACGAGAAAAAAGGAAGGATAACTCTCCTAACCGTCCAATTTTTATTTACACCTGCTCTTAGCTCAGCTTGCCTTTCCCTAAACAGAAGGAAAATGTCACCTAAAGCTATAAAGTCCTCCATAACTTACATGTGAGTTGCTATGTACTGTATCCATCACCGCCAGCCACCGTTCCTTTACCTCTTTGGACATGGTGACGCTTTCAAGCTTAAAAACCAATCAGTGCCTTTTCAAATCCTAAATCCTAGAAAGAGAATGAAAAAAGGGAATATTTCGACTGCTGCGTTTATTCAGGTTTGTAGAGGGAAAAGCTACTACAGGTAGTCCTTGGCTTACAACCATTTGTTTAGTGATCGTTCCGAAGTTACGACAGCGTTGTAAAAAAGTGATTTATGACCTTTTTCACACTTACGACCTCTGCAGCATCCCCATGGTCACGTGATCAAAATTCAGATGCTTGGCAACTGGCAAGTACTTTTGACGTTTGCAGTGTCCTGATCTCCTTTTGCGACCTTCTGACAGGCCAAGTGGAATGGGGAAGCCAGATTCACTTAACAACCGTGTTACTATCTTAACACCGGCAGTGATTCATTTAACAACGGTGGCAAGAAAGGTCCTAAAATGAGGCAAAACTAACAGAAATTTTAGGATCAACTGTTGGTTGTAAGTCAAAGACTCCCTGTATTCAAACATTCTTAGATGATAGCCTTTAGGATCTCTGTTTTGCTAGGAAACGTACATTTTTAGAAACAGATAACTTCATTTTCTTCCCTTGTCCTCTTATGACAGCAGTGAGATTCCACATGGTTGCAATTCCTCAGTAGAACCTTTACATTTGTATTGGCAAGCTCAAGGCTGCCTGCTTACTACAGTTTTACAATGTTTCCACAGTGTATAAAGTTGTAAAAGAGGAAGGAAATAACAGGCAGGTGGAAGTAAGACAAACAAGGTTGTTTTTTTTTAAATAAAAAGCATGCTTTCCACATGAAATGATGAAGGAATTGCTCTGAGGTCTTTGCTATCCAGAAACAAATATTCAAACAACCCCTCACTGGATAGCAGATGCCCTGTTGAATGTCTGCCTGCCTGCCTGTCTTCTATAACTCCCCAGTTGCAAGATTGCAAGCCAAAGTAGCCGGTTGGTCTTTAAAATCTGACAAAAGCAGGGCGTCCCAAGTGCAAGGGCACTATCCTGTTGGTCCTCTGCCTGACCTGCCAGCCTCAGCAGGGGCAGTAATCTATCCTGTTGGACCTCTGCCTGACCTGCCAGCCTCAAAGGGGGCAATGGGGTGGTGGCGGAAATCTATCCTGTTGGACCTCTGCCTGAACCTCCAGCCTGGGCAAAACCTGAAGGGCAGTGTGAGGGAAAGCCCTGCCCTGTTGAACTACTGCCTGACTATCAACAGGGGCAAGGGGAGGGGAGGGGTGGGGATGAGGGAGGACTCTGCCCTGTTGAACCTCTTGCCTGACCCTCAACAGGCCCAACGCGGGGTGGGTGGGAGGACTCTTGTCCTGTCGGACCTCTGCCTGACCCTCCACCCTCAGCAGCACCCGAGGGGGCCTCGGCGAGGCCGGCTGCCCTGTTGAACATCGGCCTGCCCCCCTCTCCCCCCCCAAAGCCCGAGCCGAGTCCGCGGTAAAGACGCTCCCCTGACGGACCTCGGCCTGCGAAGCAACCTTGGCCGCCGTTTTTTTTTTCCCTCCTCCCCGGAGGGAAAGGGCGACGAAGCGGGCCGGGCCTGCCTGCCTCCCTCCCTCGCTCCCTCGGCGTCACGTACCTCCACCGGGCCGCCCAAAAAAAAGAGGCCGAGAGCAGCGCCGCCTCAGCCGACCGGGCCTTGTTGGGCGCCTCCGGGGCCGCCTTCCCCTTCGCGTCGCCCGTCGGCTTCTCCTAATTCGCTCTCCTCGCCTTCATGCCGGCGCGGTCGGCCTCTCCGGAAAGGAGCCCGGCTCCTCCCTTGCAAGGCGCAGCAATGAAGCCGGCACAGAAAGAGAGAAGGAGAGAGGATGGTGGTGGTTCACTCCGATGGTGGCTGGGCACGCAGCCCGCCAGATGTTGTCGGCATTTATTATTATTATTGTTGTTCTTGTTGTTGTTGTTCTTGTTGTACACAAAAATGACAGCATACACAGCAGACGGGACAACCATGCTGGGTTTCGTATCACAAATCACTAGTTGAACACTTCCCAAGTCGTCGTCGTCTTCTTCTTCTTCTTCTTCTTCTTCTTCTTCTTCTCCTTCTCCTCCTCCTCCTCCTCCTCCTTCTTCTTCCTCTTCTTCTTCTTCTTCTTCTTCTTCACAAAAATGATAGTATACACAGCAGGCAAGACAACCATGCTGGGTTTCGTATCACAAATCACTAGTTGAACACTTCCCAATTGTTGTTGTTGTTATTATTATTGTTATTATTATTATTATATAATGCCTTGGGAAGGCCGCCTTCGGAATACCGCACCCAGTTTTGGTCACTACAATATTAAAAAGATGTTGAGACTCTGGAAATAATGCAGAGAACAGCAACCAGGAGGATGAGGGGGTTAAAAACCTATGAAGAACAGATGCAGAAACTGGGCCTGGCTAGTCTAGGGAAGGGAAGGACCAGGGGAGAGACAGGATAGTGGTCTTCCAATATTTGAGGGGTTGCCACAGAGAGAAAGAGGGGGTCAAGCTATTTCCAAAGCAAAAGAAAGAAAGAAGGATGGAAGGAAGGAAGGAAGGAAGGAAAGAAAGAAAGAAAAAAAGAAAAGAAAGAAAGAAAGAAAGAAAGAAAGAAAGAAAGAAAGAAAGAAAGAAAGACATCTGAGCAAACCATGGATGGACAGAAGACATGTCTAGTTTAAGGAAAAGAAGGATGGGGTGACATGAGAGCAGTCTTCCAGTATCTCAGGGGCTGCCCCAAAGTAGAGGGAGTCAAGCTATTCTCCAAAGCACCTGAAGGACAAGAAGCAATGGATGGATAATCAAGGAGAGAAGCAACCTGGAACTAAGGAGAAATAGTGGCAGGAATTTGGTATGTCTAAGGAAGAGAAGGACCAGGTGGGGTGACATGGTGATAGCAGTCTTCTGATATCTCAGGGGCTACCCCAAAGAAGAAGGAGTCAAGCTGTTCTCCAAAGCACCTGAAGACAGGAGAAGAAGCAAAGGATGGAAGCTAATCAAGGAGAGAAGCAAACTAGAACTAAGGAGACTTTTTCTCATTTTAATCACTTCCTGAGTTAATTTGAAATGAGCAGAGCACGCCTATTGATGCCACTTCTTTTTGTTAAGCCAACATTGAGGTTCCAAGAAGAAGAACTCTGGCATTCAGATGTTCCTCAGTTACAATTTCCAGAATATCTCTGAAACATGGCCAAAAGTGAAGGAGATCTGACTACCTCCCCACCCGAAATGACACTGGGTGGAATACATTTTAAAAAGCAAAAAGCAATAAAAAAACAACAAACCCAGAGCAAGAGCTCATGTACATCCAGAAGAGAAAACTATCCATTAAAATAAATCAAAAGAACAACAACAGGAACCTAACATCCAACCACCCAAGAGATCCTGGGAAACTTTGGGATTGTCCTAGAGATGGGAACCTTAATGGATTTAACACAGGCTCCAAAAAGTAAAAATGGCTTCACAACCTTTGTGATTGCAGCCCTGGTCCATTTTGACACAAGCTGCCATTTTAACTTTTTGAACCTGCTGCCTCTGGATACCTGGACAGAGAAGGAACACCTCCTAGGAGGCCCTAAGGCAGTAATGGCGAACCTTTTTGTTGTGTGCCGAAATGCAATGCACTCCACCCCCCTGCGCATGCATGCACAACACTGCCGCTCCTCTCCCTTACCTGCACTGTGCATGTTTGTGTCTCCCAGCTGATTTTTGGCCCATTTGAGGCCATTTTCGCGCTCCCGGAGGCTTGAGGAAGCCTCTGTAGTCTCGGGAGGCCAAAAAACGGGCCTGTTTTGGCACTTCTGGTATTTCCAGAAGGCCCGTTTTTCCACCTCCTGAGGCTTCAAAGGCTTCCCTCGAGCCTCCGGGAGGGCGGAAATGGCCTGAAACAGGCCGAAAATCAGCTGGGAGGCACGCGCTTGTGCAGTGCAGCTAAGTTTGGCTGGGGCTCACATGCCCACACAAATGGCTCTGCGTGCCACCTGTGGCATGTGTGCCATAGGTTCACCATCCCGGCCCTAAGAAATGGCATTGTTTAAAATTAAAGGGCTTGGAGATCTGTCTTCCCAGGTAGGCTGGGATCATACTGGAAGATAAACTTAAATGCAGGTCATCCTCAACTTATGACCACAAGCGTCTGAATTTTGATCATGGGGGAAGCTGCAATGGTCGTCAGCGTGCATAACAGTCATAAGTCACTTTTTTCAGTCGGGTTGTAATTTCAAACAGTCACTAAATGAACTGTTGTAAGTTAAGGACTGCCTGTACTACACTTGTTCTATATGTATTTGGTCAAGCCTGGTTAGACACACAAGGAATTTGTCCCTGGGACAGAAGCACCCCGTGTACTTGTAAAACAATAGAATATAATAATAATTAATAATACTAAAGTGTACAGCCAATAAAAGAGGGGAGTAAAAAAACAACAACAACGGCAGTTACAATGCCAAAAATTGGTTTCTTGGAAGCGGCTGTACTAAAATAAATGAAAATGAGCCCAGTGCTATGTCCTTATTCTCCCTCAAAGCTCTTTGCTACCCTTTCTCTCCATTGCTGCCCCAGTCACTCCCCTGGTTCTACCTTAAGTGCCCCGTCCATCTTACCATATCAAAACAGTGTTCGCCTGTTAAACAAACCACCTTTCGCAGGAGGAGCCGCTGGTGAAGATTCAGGCTGGCAGGCATGGCGTGGCCCAGCAGCCAACTGGGCGGAGTGGGAGGGGGGTGGTGAACTGTGGGAAGAGCGGAGTCAGGTTGCTTAGTGACAGCAATGCGGTCCCCTCGGTTACCCCGAGCGAGCGAGAAGGGGGAGAGAATGTCAGGGGGCAGAAGTTCTTTCTGCGCTCTGCCTCTCCAGCAAGCACGGAAACAGGTGACTGGGACGCCCCCCCCCCCCGGAGTGGCAGACGGCCCTCGCCCCTTCCTAGTCCTGAGTGAGGTTGAGAAGAGGCAAAAGAAATGTGGCTTGAAAGTGCCTGACTTTGATTTTCATCTTTTTTTCTTTCCTTCTTCCTTCCTTCCTTCCTTCCTTCCTTCCTTCCTTCCTTCCTCTCTTCCTTTCTCTCTCTCTTTCTCATTTCTTTCTCCCTCTCCTCTCCTTTCCCCTCCCCTCTTTCCCTCCGCCTCCTTCCCCCTTTCTTTCTCTTTCTCTCTATCTTTTCTTTCTCCCTCTTCTCCTCTTCCTTCCTTCCTCTCTCCCTCTCCCCTTCCCTCTTTCTCTTTCTCTCTATCTTTTCTTTCTCCCTCTCTTCTCCCCTT